TGACTGGGCTGGCCAATCCAGGAGCAACTTGACCTTTTTTGCTTTCAGGAACTTTGATGTGGAGGCTGAAGTATGAGAAGGAGCGCTATCCTGCTGAAGAATTTGCCCTCTTCTGTGGTTTATAATAGGCAGCACTAGTCTTAATATCTTAGACTGTATGCTGCCATCCACTCTGCAGATCTCTCACACGCCCTCATACTGAATGTAACCCCAAACTATGATTTTTTTCCTTTACCACACTTGACTGATTTCTGTGATAATCTTGGGTCCATGCGGGTTCCAATAGGTCTTTTGCAGTATTTGTGATGATTGGGATGCAGTTCAACAGATGATTCATCAGTGTCATATCTTCTGACAATTGTCCAAATGATCAACAAGAAGTCAAGTTATTATTATTTATTATTTGTTGCTCTTACAACTGGGGTTGACGACTTTTGTCAGATAGTGTACTTCTAATTCACAATCACTGTTTTTTATTCTTTCAGGAATGTACTATACAGTTAGAGAAAGTTAAAAAAGTCTTTTTAGGTTTTTAAATATAACAAAATACATCAATTAGCTACAAAAAAACAAAAACAACAACAACAAAAAAACCCACATGGCTCCATCAATGTTTTCCTATTCACTGTATTTGTTTTTTAGTTAAGAAAGTTAACACCTGCCCACTGTCATTTAATAGCTTGAAAGACCAAAGACATTTTTTAAAGATGGATTTGTCAGAGAGAAGAAAGTCATATATAAATGCCTTGAGGATGAGTAATTCTCATTAATTTTCATTTTTGGGTAAGCTAACCTTTTTAACGCCTTAAATTCTTGGTTTCAAGTCTTCATTTTGTCTTAGTCGCAACCCTTTTTAATATCTTGGTCTAGTCTTGGTCTCATCTTGGCCTTAAACTCTAAAAGTCTTGGCCTCAACAGATTAAATCTGAGCTGGACGTCTGGTGTCCTGTGCTCGCAGTCTAAGCGAATGAAGCCAAAATATGGAGATAAATCCATTATATCCTGGCTGGACTGCTGTGTCTGCAGGCTATTCAGATGGCATAGATGTAATGGAAACCAGACTCTCAAACATTGCTTTACACAAAATACTTCTCACCAGCTGTTTATTTTCTTTCACAGTCCAAAGCAGGGGAGGGAAAAATAATTTAAATGCATGAAAATTCCCAAAAGCGCTCTTCAATTAAATGGAACTGTTCATTGAACTAGCCAAGCCATCCATCTAACTATCCATCTTCTCATCAATTCATCCATCCATCCATCGTCTTGGGTGGCAGGCGTCCCGTGGGCCGCAGTGTCAGAGGGGAAGGCCTGTCTGTCAGTGTCAGGATGCTGGTGTGTCAGGGAGCTGTTGATGCAGGCTGAGGTCCCTGTGTTCCCCAGGCCCATGCCCTCCTAGCCTTGCCCCGTGGTGGGCCGCGGCCCCCTGCCTCCATATATTATCACAGGTGGGCTGTTGGTTTCAGCCACCCTGCCCATTCTCTCCACAGCACATCAGGGGCGGTCAATAGGCCCTGGTTCTATTACTTCAGACTTGTGCTGAGATAGAGCTGTGGTGAGGAGATGAACAATTAGTGATTTGGGAGGGTGATGAAAGAAGACAGGTACTGATACCATTAAGAATTTAATTGTGAAAATCCCTTTGCTTAAGATTTAAATGAGATGTCAGATGGTGTATTGATCAAAATGTGTTTTTAATGTGTCACATTAAAGCAGTAGTTCATTCAAAAATGAAATTAAACCCCATCATTTACTCACCCTCAAGCCATCCTCAGCATATGACTTTCTTCTTTCAGATGAGCTCAGTCAGACTTTTACATTTTTATCCTGGCTATTCCTAGCTGAATAATGGTATCGGGTAGTTTTAAAGCGCATAAATCAACAATAAAGTGAACCCATATGCCACCAGGGGGTTATCGCATGTCTTATGGTGCATATTGATGGGTTTTTGTGACAAAATACTCCTATTTTTAAAATCCCTGACTTCTGGCGACTACCCAATGCACATTCTCAACAGCTTCTTGACTGTCCTCTGACTCCAACTTGTGATGCATATGACAATGACCATGACTCTGGTTCAAACAAATATGCCTTTTTTTCTCTTACAAATGAAATACTCTGACATTTCAACTTCTCGTTTTCCTTTTTTCCAGTCATTTCATTGGTATTACTACCAATCAGATCTGCCTCCATCCAATCAGTAGATGATGGATGGAATCAATGTCCTGCATTACTATTTTCAGAGTTGGGGAAAGTTACTTTTGAAAGAAATGCATTACTTTATTGAGTAACTCCCCACAAAAGTAACTGCATTTCTTAGTTGTTTTTTTATAGCAAGTAATGCCTTACTTTTTAGTTACTTTTGCATTACTTTTTCTGACCTGGCTGAGGCTTGATCTCCTTCAGAAGTTGCAGGATTTTTTTTCATCTTTTTTTAAAATAGAGAAGCTCTGCATTTAAGAACACACAGTATAACCTTCATTTACATAAAAAAAACAATGAAAAAAATGAGTGTAGGATGTTATTTTCTGAGAACTTTCTGACTCCAGAGCTCAATGTACAGATTAATGACACTTTAAAGCAATGTGCTTGCTACTTTTGTATTTTTTGTCTTATTAAAAATTAAACCCACTGTCTATTCAGATAATTCTCTCTTCCTTTTCTTCCTTGTGTACAAAATAATGAGGATATTTCTTTTGCAGAAATGTAGGGCTCTGCTGTCTTCCTTTCTGTCTGTTCCTGCATTCTCTCATTGAGTGCGGGATTCAATGTGATGACGTTTATTTTAATCAGCAATTTATTTTTTAAAAGCAAATTAACTAAACTAAAAAGTAACTCAAATATTATTACTTAATTTTTAAAAGTAATGCGTTACTTTACTTGCTACTTAGAAAAGTAATATTATTACGTAACTTGCGTTACTTGTAATGCGTTAAACCCAACACAGATTATTTTAAGATTATCCGCTTTCCTTCACAATATGGAAAAAAGATCAAAACTTCACTAACATCACTTCAATATCACTTTCTGGACTTCTGTGGTGAACACTGAATATCTCAGAATGCATTGAAGTTCTGTGAAATGCAATTAAGTTCATTTGTCTTCCTGTCATTTCAGTTTACATAGGAAAATTCATGAATTGTAAGTAGCCAGCTCTTCACTTGTGAAATAAACAGTCTATATATAATAAATGGATCAATATGACTATGAATAAACAAAAAATACATAAAAAGTTATTTATTTGCAGTGTGCTGTGCTCAAAATAAACAAACCAATATATTTTTTTGTAAAACAAAGGAACCTTAGTTGGAGATGTTATTCATGGACCACACACACGCTCAAACGCAGAGATTAGCCGCATATTATTTTCCTAAAGTCTATCTCAGTGGGGTGCTGCCAGTTCTGTCTCTGCCTCTCTCTCCTTCTCTCCATCCTTCTCTTTCTGCCACACGTCCTCAATCAAAAGCACAAAATGTCAACTATAAGCGTAAGTGGTTTTTCTATGAGCACCACAAACTTTTTATTTTGCTGCAGCACATTAAATGAAGAAATAAAGAAGGACTGTAACAAGACGTTGCAGTAAAACCACTTTTTTTTAGAGGCACGGAGAGAGAAATATCATCATTATATCATCAGAAATTCCTTTCCACAGAGGTGCAGAACAAGGCATTGAAACTGGGTGGCCAGGAAATAGATGCCAAAGGCAGTAACAGCCAACAGAGAGAAGGAGAATCATACAGTATGATGCAAACACAAAGTGAGGTTTTGGTGTAGACATTCTGCTTGATCACGGTCTATGTGTTGCAGCTCACACTGCCGCAGGAGACAGACCTGAATATAGAATATGTGTGTGAATACAACCAGATGCAAAGGTGAAATTAATCAGCTGCAGATGTTCTTGAAGGAGATGCAGAAGTCTGAAACGCTGCAAACAGAGAACTGTTTGTACCTTTTTTAAACATCTGTTAGACAAACCAGGAGGTCGATAATTGCATAAAATGAAGTGCTAGAGTTAGACTGTGATACTTGCTGTGTCCGCAGTAGGTAAGGTGCTTATGCCCTTATCAGAATTACCCATGTTTTTGCTAGTAATTGTGTAGTAAACCATCTATTTTTATATTTATATATATATATATATATATATATATATATATATATATATATATATATATATATATATATATATATATATATAAAATACATAATTACATGTGAAATATTTAAAACTAAGATAATAAAAAAAAAGATCTTGGCGTACTGGAAAACTGCTTAAATGTAAAAGGAAAAATGCAATGTGTTTATTATTTATTTACACAAAAGATATATTTGCGCTGTATTAAACCTTTTAAATGTGCAGTTCTTCAAAACTGTTTTTTGGTCTAATATTTATTACTTTTTTGTTCTCCACTCATTTTGTTGAAAGTTTGCAAATGTATTTTCTTGTCCATGAAATACATATAAAAAATTATTATTGTGGTAGAAAGGGTGAAATGACACATAAAGTCAATTAAAATATTTTATTGACCCTCACAGTAACTAAAATATATTTATATTTAATATAATATAATATATATATAGAAGAATATATATAGAAGAACTATAATGTTTTTACTATTTAAATATACAAATACAGTTAACTGACGTTTGGTTTTATTTTTAATATAAAAAAGTTGAGCCTTTTTATTATAGGTGTGCCTATAATAAACATAATTGTATTTTTTACATAATTGTATTTTTTAATGTGATGGAAGAAGCTTTAATGTAATATTTAAAAGGGACTGTCACATTACTCTGTGGTAAACTTCACAGCTACTGTTTACATTTATTGAATAAAAATCTCTCCTCTAAAATTGATTTTATTAAATCCATTTAATCACACTTTATGAGATTTTGCAGTTGTAAATAATATCTTGGCAGAGGTGGGAATTTTATAGGCAGTGACCGCCCTGTCTGTGGAGTTTCTCCGGAATGTCCCTTTCTGGATACCGTACGCTTGTGTTTATGAGAAGTTCAAGATGGCGCTGTCCATAAGGTGGAACGTGAAATCTGTCTTTCGTTTTATTCACAAGAGTAATTTCCACAGAAGATTGTTTAAAGCTGGAAAAGCGACGGCATCAACGGTAAGAATAACTTCTCTGTTTGACATGCTGTTGTTTGACGGTTTTACGGAGGATCTCTGCCATTCACTTTTAGCGCAAACCTTGAATGGTTCATTGAAACTATCCGACAAGTGTAATTGTCAATATAAACCAATCACAGTAGCCTTGGTTTCATTATAAATGTTAAAGCTTTGCAGTTAACTGCGTTTTTTGGTAAACGTTGTTGCTTCTTACCGTTTGCGGTAAGAGACAGTTTGTTGAAGCTTTTCAATGTCTGCAATAGTTTTAAATCAGTGACAGCAAGGTTTAATCTGCCGAGATTACTTGTGCCATGCAGTGATGTGTTTTACATGGTTTTTAGTTTGAAGTTTTGGAGTAATTTTTGAGTATTCGTGACACTGAAGACACTGAAGAAGGTATTGATGCTAAACATCAGCCTTACTTAACATAAATAATTTACATTTGAAAATATATTCAAATAGAAAACAGCTACTTTAAAATATAATAATGTTTTCTAATATTTGTCTTGTTCAGCATTATTTATTTTTTTGTTTTCACACTGAAAATTATTTAAAATATTTCAAATGAAAGTTCAGTCATTTGTTCATCAACTGTAACAGGATCAAGATTATCTAAATCAGTGGTTCTCAAACTTTTTTTTTTTTTTACCATGTACCACCTTAGAAAAAAAATTGGCTCACCAAGTACCACCATAATGACTGGGATTAAAATACATACTAGGCCTAATTAGGCGGCTACAGCTCTGCACAGTTCTCAAACGTGGCAGATTAATTCTTCTTCTTCTTATTATTATTAATAATATATTTTTTATTGTCTGCCACTTTAAAAATAAAAAATAGTTTAAACAATAACACAGAGGTAAAAAAAGATAAATAAAACGTCAACGATTAAATTAAAATGTGATTTTACAGGGCCATGAAACCGCCTTGTTTCAGCTGGGTGTTTTCACACCTCTACTTTGGAAAAAGTCAGGAAAGTGGGTGTGTCCAGCTCTGTATAGGGGGAGTGTCAGAGGAGGGAAAGTTCGTAAAAATTTGCATAAAATGGGAGTGTCGTTTGGGCATGCACTGATTTTCACAGAGGCAAAACAAACACACAGATGCAGGGCAGAAAGACAGTGACTGTGTTTATGTGGTAGGGTTGTAACTGTATGAATTTTTAACGGTATGATAATCGTCTAAAACAATACCACGGTTTGACGGTTTCGTGGTATACGGTATTAAATAGTAATTCTCATAGCAAAGACCCTGAAAAGAATAAGAACACGTTTTCTGACTGAACAAAGGTTTTTCTATGGGGGAAAAAATGCATTTATTTACTGACAATGTATTTGCCCAAAAGGTCTGGGAATGAACTAAACAGAAAAAAAAAATGTTACAAAATAATAGAACAGTGAAGCAAATTTGACTTTTTCCAAATAATATATTTTCAGTTACTATAAACAACACCACTTACAATGGACAAATAAAAAAATAAGAAAATAATAAATAATGTGTCAAAGTCCAAATAAACATGGTGCAAATCCTCAGTAAAAAAATAGATATAAATATTTACTATACTATAAATAGTTACATAACGAAACTAGATTCAATATGGAACATCCTTAGGTTTTATGTGCCAGCATGGATATGGTTGTCTGTGGATATGGATTTGGATACAAACAAAAGCGAAACCTATGCTTATTGGTTGTGATATAGCGAGTTTGAACCAATCTGGGCATGGAGGAGGGACAATGCATCAATGTATCATGTCTGGTTTGTCCGGAGACACAGTGACGGAGCGTTTCTTTGTCAAATCAGCGTTGTCAAATTTTGATGACGTAACCGCACTGATTCCGGAGCCTCTGAAAATCCGTGAATGTTATGTGATACGCTGAGATTCTCTTCTTTATGCCAATCTTTGAATTGTATGAATCGGATCAGCGGATCAAAAGTTATTAAACATTTAAGAGCAATACTCTCGGTCTTTAAGGGTTAAAACCGTTGATATGCAATTGTTCATGGTATGATAATCGTGCACGTTCAAATCGTGGTAGACCGTCATACCGGTATATTGTTACAACCCTATATGTGGACATTAGTAATCGAGTTTTTTGCCAAATTGTTAAATGGTGGACTTTAACTGCAGTTTTGCTTTTTCATTCAGGAATTTCATTCCTGCCCCACGTGACAAACGGGATATTTGATTAGAGGAGCTAGTGGAAGCGTGTATTTTTCATGCAATTTTTGTTACCGCACGGTGAATGAGAGAGAAACTCTCCGCATTTATCGGTAACTTTGATGCACTCGGTAGGTAGCGTTAGAAACCTGTGTGTGTTATTACTGTCACAAAATGCGGTAAAAATCCTACACGACGGTAAGATTGATTGTGTTGCTTTCATGTTTACACTCAGAGCAGTATTGACAGCAGATTTTAATATTTTAATATTGTAAAGTACGGTAAACTTTATTAACTCAGAAATGATTTGACTAAGGTCCTTCTTTAAACGCTGAAGGAGTACTGCGGACGATACAAACTAACTTTGCCTCTGAATAAACAAACAAAGGCCACTGACCGCTTACCAAATCTGTAGAGACAGGACAATCAACACTAACTGGAGCTGCATCTTTATTAAAAAGAGACAAGCAGCAAATCCGGATTTCACCATTTCCAGATGAGAAAAGCTCATCGAGTGAAAATAAAAACAAAACCTTTACTGCAGCAAATTATAAAATCAACACTGACGACCCGCATCTTCGAACAATTCTTGTTCTCCTGCTTGGCAACTTAACGTGGCGTCTCTCTGCCGTCTGAACACTATAACAGGTAAAAACTTTGAAGCTATCTTGTATATAAACGAGGTTGCACGCACCTCTCCTCCTTGACGCTGACATGCTGCTTTGCTCCCAGTTTAAGTCCCGTTTGTGTACATGGATGCAGAAAATATAGCCGCGCTGCTCATGTGCCGCTCATGTGTTGTGAAGCCGGCGTAATAGCCTTTTATGCAGAGGTGTTGGCACATAATGAGTTTTGCAAGTTGACAAAACAAAGTTTAAATAATATGATGGTGATCTTATTTAGACTAAGCATGCCTCGTGATAGATATTTTTGCATGAAGCTAAAAAGAGGGATGATGAGTCAGTAAGGACAGACTTAATAAACCTAATTCTTGGCCATAAGTCAGGTCGATGACAACACGCAACAGATAATTCTATAAAACATGTTTTTTTTGTATTCTATAGAATTGTCTATTATACAATGTGTTTGTTTTTGTTTGAACATGTTTTACAACAGAGCTTGTAAAAAGTTCTATCAGCTTGTATCAGATTCTCCCCATCAGATAAACTCAGGTAAAGTTGGTTTTATATTTGCACATTCATTCAGGGACAATTTGTGACAGGCTCTCTATATTGTTTACTATGGTTACTTTAAATATTCTGTCTGAAATCACATGCAAGTATGACTTAAAAAACAACATTACTGTTGTTATTAACATGGTATTTAGCCTCCTTGGTAAAGCAACTGACTCCCATGGGGAAAGTCACCGGTTCATACCACCTCTAAAGATGCTCTAGTGACAGATGCTAGAAGCTATGGTTTTTTCTCTTTTTGTTACAGCAACCAACTACCATGTGGAAGGTCACATCAAGTGACATTAGCACTCCTTATTTTACTGAAAAATGTTGTATTTTAATAACCCTTGGCTGCTAATATGAGTCCACTATTTAGAAATTGCAAAGAAGTTTTTTTTGTATAAATTTTAATGAAATTTTATTATTAAGTAGAAAGTCTTTACCTCAATATCAGATACATTGCTTGGAAACGTTTTGTTATGCTCAAAGATTGTTAAAGTTCACTTATTATACTTAGATAATGAGCTTTGGTATTTGAGCAAAGAATACATTTTTAGATGCACTCAAAACGCAGATTTTTCTCTCTTGCACTGTGCTGGAGATTCAGTTATGACAGTAACTAAACAAAATATCAGATCAAATGTATCAAAGGCATTTCTTACAAGAAGCTTTTGCCTAATAGCAATTCCAGCGTAGTGGTTGTGCCATTTTCAGTAAAAAAATCTAGACATAAATTCACAGAGAAGTATATGTTAACATTATATTGAAACATCTGTTTATATTTTCCAAAGCAACTCACCACAGGGTTATGGGATCAGAAAAAATATCAATCTGTAAACGTCTTTTATATTTTAAATGAGGAAAATAACGATTTGTTATAAATGTGACCAAAAACTTAGTACGTTTACAATATACAACGTACTTTGTAGAAATTCAGTGATTTAAACTGCACAACCTAAAAGACACATTGCTAATGAAAAAGATAAGAGTTGGCTCTCTATAGAACAAAAATGATTGATTTTATTTGACATTTTTGTATTTATGAGGGAAAAGCTCAGTTATGGATGTCACAGATGTGAAATTGCCACTTGTGTGACTTTGCAAATGAAATATAATAGTTTGAAAACTTTGACAAAGATAATTTTGAGTATTTTAAAGCACTGTAAAATACTTGCTTATACAAAAAAAATAAGAAGCTGTTTTACTATTTTGGTGAAAACATAATTTTTGTCATGGCAAGGTTGACATTTGCATGGAATTGCTTGGAACTTTCTACTGGGCATTTCTCCTGTGCTGGCATTTTTCCAGGGGATAGCGTTCTCTTGCTATCTGTGTGTGAAGAGTGGGAGAAGATTATTTGATAAGTGGTTATTTTATAAGTGGTCAGAAACTTGTAAATAACAAAAGTTTGCCCCAAGATGGCCGAATTCAAAATAACCACCATGGTCACCACCCATCTTGAAAAGTTTGCCTCCTCACAAATACTAATGTGCCACAAACAGGACGTTAACATCACCAACCATTTCCATTTTATTAAGGTGTATCTGTATAAATGACCTACCCTGTAGTTGACATAGAATGTGTCCATGAATGATTACATCTTCTTTCTTCTTCCTCAACAACTTTTATATTTGGACTCTCTGGGCCCTCGTTTAAAACCCCCCTTGC